TCCAAAGTCAAAACTATCACTTTCTTGATTGAGCCAGTCCATCTGTAACGAGCCTTTCCTCTTTTCCTGCTGATTTTCCCAGCACTTCTCCGGTGAGTCATGTTCAATGAGTCATAATAGGGCCAAAGGACAATCACCTCCATTTCGTCACATTAAGGTGCCTTTTGATGGAATAGGTACAGAATGGGCAGTTATACACTCTGTCAGCCTCAGAAGAAAGTAATGGTACACCCCCTCTAAACAAATCCTGCTAAGAAAATGTGAAACCATTGAAGGTGTAAAACAACAACAGGAACAGTTTTGTTATGATGACGTACTAAACTGATGAAGACCCTTGGGTTACAGTCTAGATAGTAGGGACTGCTGTCGCTGAAATCAGTAGACCATCAGATCCTTGTCAGAATTAATGCAATTGCTTTTGCACTGTTGATAGCTCCTTTAAAATTCTGACAAAAACTCAGAGCAGGTTCACCACCTCATTGATATCGGTCCACTCACTTTGTTATGTTTTGGGCATCCATCAACAGTCTTCTGTGATCAGTGACCAGTGATAACCAATAAGAGGCAATTGGAAGGTGTCACACAAGACTGAATTCTGTGAAAGAGTTTCTAAACCCTAAATTACTGAAACATCCATGTTCAGGAAAACAACCTCTGATGCCACATATTAAGAACAAACAGGGCTGATGCTTTCATGTGCTGCTTGTGTAACCCCCATAAATATCTCGGTGCATACTATGGGGAAACGGATGCTGATCCAGCTGACTTTTTATTTTCCTCATTATCTTTTCCAGCACACTCTCCATCTATCTGTTGTTACTTGCATAATTATATTTTCATAAGTGTGTGTGTGTGCCATGTGAATACGTGTGCCAGGCAAGGATAGAATTCATCATTTTTGAAGACCTTGGAAGGAAGAGGGCACTTCTTGCAAGGTCTGAGGGAAGAGCCGAATGGTTTGGACAGAATTAATCAGAGGACAGTACAAAGACCACTTTGATGGCCGAAAGCGAGGAGGAGCTGAGGAACCTTCCAACCAAGGTGAAAGAAGAAAATGCAAAAGCTGGGTTGCAGTTAAACATTTTAAAAAACCAAGACAGATTGATAACTGGCAAATAGAGAGAGAAAACGTGGAGGCAGTGACAGACTTTGTATTTCTAGGCACAAAAATTATTGCAGATGCAGACTGAAGTCAGGAAATCAGAAGACATTTACTTCTTGGGAGGAGAGCAATGACCAGTCTCAATAAAATAACGAAGAGTAGAGACATCACACTGGCAATGAAGATCTGCATAGTTAAAGCAATGGTATTCCCAGTAGTAACCTATGGATGCAAGAGCTGGACCATAAGGAAGACTGAGCGGAGGAAGATAGATGCTTTTGAACTGAGGTGTTGGAGGAAAATTCTGAGAGTGCCATGAACCGTAAGAAGATCCAACCAGTCCATCCTCTAGGAAAAAAATGCCCGACTGCTCACTGGAGGGAAGCATATTAGAGGCAAAGATGAAGTACTTTGGCCACATGATGAGAAGACAGGAAAGCTTGGAGAAGACAATGATGATGGGGAAAATGGAAGGAAAAAGGAAGAGGGGTAGACCAAGGGCAAGATGGATGGATGGTATCCTTGAAGTGACTGGCTTGACCTTGGAGGATACAAAACATATGCCACCCAGTAGTTACCATCTGCTCACCCACAGAAAACTATATTTAATAATCTTAAGCTGATATGGTGGTAGTAACCTTTAGTGGGTAGTCAGCCTCTCCCTTCCCGACATCCCCATTGCCTCGGCAGTAAAAGAAGGTTTTGCAAAACCAGTCACTCTTGTTGCCTTGTGGCTTCAAGGCAACAGTGTAGTAATGGTGAGACCACAGATCATATTTTTGTTCTTGCAGACCACTGGTGGCCCACAGGCCACAGGTTGGGAAAAACTGATGTAGGGTATCTCTTCGGGATAGTAGTGAAACTCCCTACCAAAGGAAATTAAGCTGGCCCATCTCTTTTAAGCTTCTTGTGAGCAACCAAAACTGGGCTGAGAGCCGTTCAGAAGTGGAACTCTCTGCCCCGGAGTGTGGTGGAGGCTCCTTCTTTGGAAGCTTTTAAACAGGGGCTGGATGGCCATCTGTCAGGGGTGATTTGAATGCAATATTCCTGTTTCTTGGCAGGGGGTTGGACTGGATGGCCCATGAGGTCTCTTCCAACTCTTTGATTCTATGATTCTATGATTCTAGGGCTGATATACAAGGCATTCAATGTTTGACATTACTGTTTTAACTGTTTCATAACTTGATTCTGGAGCCCCCGGTGGCGCAGTAGGTTAAACCCCTGTGCCAGCAGGACTGAAGACCAACAGGTCGCAAGTTCGAATCCGGGGAGAGGCGGATGAGCTCCCTCTATCAACTCCAGCTCCTCATGCGGGGACATGAGAGAAGCCTCCCACAAGGATGATAAAAACATCAAATCATCCGGGCGTCCCCTGGGCAACATCCTTGCAGACGGCCAATTCTCTCACACCAGAAGCAACTTGCAGTTTCTCAACACGACAAAAAAAAACTTGATTCTAGGACTGTTTGTAACTGCTTTTAGGTTTTTTAAAAGTGTTTTAATCAGATTTTTAAAATGTATTTATCTTTGTATTGTTTTAATTGGTTTTTATTTGTTCGTCTTCTCAGGAGTCCTTATGGGCTTGGAGGTGAAACGGAAACACTTCAATTAAAATGAATAAATAACCATGCTATTGCAGCCAATTTTCCACCTACTCAAGAAGCTCTAAATTAGCCAAAGTGACAGTAGGGAGTGAAGATTTTATCAGTTTCTACTAAAGACTAGACCTGACTTGTGTCCACCTAATAGATGCATGGATCCCTCTCAATTGTATCCATGAATATTTCATATCGATATGGGAAAAAATAACCCACACTTCTAAATGCATCTCTTCTAGACAGAGAGATCAGGGACTGTTGAGTGAAATTGTGCTAATCTTTCCAGTAAACAGAATGCAAAGATAAAGGGAAGGGGTTTATCTGTTTCATCAAGTCAAACTAGGAAAAAATGATCATATGTACATTATCTGGCTGTTTTGGTTGTCTCATCCAACAAGTGTTTTAGTGTGTTTTATTATGATTTTATTGCAAACCACTTTGAGAACCCATTAGCTGAAAGCAGTCTAAATAAAAATCAATCTAAATATAAATCAATCAACAAATGTCTACTTGAGCTACATACATAAACAAGAGCCAGATATGCACAACTGTTAAAATCCATTTTTAATTTCTATTTTTTATAGTTTTTGTTGTTTATAGGCAACATGGCTTTATGAGCGTCATAACTTTGCTATTTACATCACATGTGCTTCATACTTCCATAACAACTGAGTTTTTTTAATTTTCCAAGTGCATTTTTTTCAGAGTATGCAACATTACTTTTTCAGGCTATTAGTTCTTACTCTAAAAATAGTTGTGATGGTGGTGGTGGAATTCTTGAATTTATAGTCCAAAAGATAATTCTCCATGTTCTAGTGGGTTTTTTGGCCGGGGGGAGTGGTGTTTTTTTTTAAAGTACAACACGTGTGAGCCTGGTTTTCCTAGACATGTGCCTGTTTATTCACTGCACCATCTGAAAAAGAATGAGAAAGAACCCTGAAAGGAATTGTTGTGGTCTCCTAAAACATGGCTCATTTCATGTTCTGAGCTTTGAGCAACGTAAAAACTGCTCAAAAGTATGAACCCAAGTCATGTATTTCGTGCCTGACGTCAAAAAGATTTTCCCCAAGGGTACAGAGATTCTCCCATTTGCTGCAATCATCTCAAGGACTTATTTGTGTAGAACTCTTGAGACTCTTGCCTTGTGATAGCCCTTTGAGCTCTTTATAGAAGGGGGCATGAGACCTTGGCCAAAAGAGACATGTGTGTGCTAGCAGAGAGCCAACAACCATCTCTTCAATACCACTTACAATCATTAAACTACTCATCCATCCCTAGCCTATCACTCATTGACTGTGCCAGGCCAAAGTCCTCGACCAAAACCTAACGTGACGTCCTATTGACGCTCCATCTCTCCTTCCTCCTGCCCCCTCTAGTATGCCAAGTCAATGGGTTTCCAAGAAGGTAGGTGGTTAACTGGGCCAGTGTTTGCTGCAGAAAGAGGAAGATTCACTCACTCATATTCTCTCACTCTCTCTCCCACCCTCAGTTGTGGGCGCACAGTGAATCATCCTTCTTTTGTGGCCTGTGGCTTTGAAAGTAGAACAAAATGTTTGGTATTTTCTTCCCATTCAGAGCCTTCTGTCCCAGAGACATCTGACACCCAAAGCACATAGAAAGTTTCCCTATTTGTGTTATCTTTGGCATGGATGCTTCAGAGCTGATTTTTATGTACAAGGAGGGTATGCGGTGCAGCCCCTTTACAGAACAACATCATCACAAGATGCCAAGTGGAAAGTTTCCTTGACTGAAGCAGTCCTATGCTCAAGTTTTCTTTCGAGAGGATAACTTCACGCACAGACACACACAACTTTGAAATGGAGGTGCTTCATAAGGACTCTCAGGTACATGTCTGGCTCCATATATGGTTGTATTTTCTTGGCTCTGACAAGGGATGGGAAAAGTGAATTTTTCATTAGTTTTAGCAAGTAACCTATGCATGAAATGAAGGACCTTCCCCTCCCCAATGATAGGACTACCAACAAGGAAATCAATGGACAGAACTTTAGTAGGAACAAGAGCCGCCACCACAAGGCAGATGCCTGGTGTGCTAGTGAGACACTAATTGTTAAACGTGGAAGCCTGTCCCTATCAAAACACAACCCACTGGCACTTTGATGCTTTATAAGAACAACTTTTGGATTCTTTACAGAGACAATAGCATTATATCCATCCATACATGAAATGACAGAGTCAAGTGACTTCATAAAATTTGGCCTCCAGTTCTTTTCACCCTGCCTCAATCCTCAGGGCCTGGTGGTAAAAATGACGATTGCATATATGTAGGAGATGAAAGCAAAGATGTTCCAACACACTTTATTGACCTAGATTCATTCCACAGAGAAGATAGACAGTCAGACAGCAACAGCTGGACAGACAGAACTACAGGGACATCCACAAGGGTGTAAAGACAGAGCAACAAGGCCAAGCCAAGAAACAGCACAAGGAATGGTCATGACTCCACTTCTTGATAGTTGACGCTCAATCATCTCCTGTTCCTCAGGTCTGCTGCTGCTCTTGCTGAGTGGAGCCAGGTGCTGGGACAGGACAGGAACCCTGGAGAGCACAGCAGAATGGGATGTGACTATGGCGGGGAAAGCCAGGAATCCTCATTGCCATCTTTTGAAGGCTGTTCATTGAGGCAAACCCATTATTTTTTAGCTCTTAAGAATCTCAGTGCCACAATTGCCATGACATCTCCAGGATCAGCCTAAGAGCCTTGTGGGAAATATTTGCTTATTAATGTAAGGTGCCCAACCCGTGACAACAAGGTTAAACAGAATGCAACTTTTTTAAAAAAAAGTTAAAAACAATTAAATTAGCCAGCATATAAACCCACAAAAAACTGAAAACAATGTAAAAGCTGTTTAAAGTAAAAAAAAAACTGCAACATACAAACCAGGAAAAGGTGGTGGCTCACACAATTACACTTAAGAAGCCTTCTGGACCATTAGCCAAATCAGACTTTAATATTGATGGGGTAGTGCTAGGTCCATCATCATACCTGGGGGAGAGAGGGAGGACAGGGGAGAGGAGGGGCAGTCCAGGCCACCTGCATGCTACACCTGTCTTCTAATAAAAGGGAAGGGCTGGGGCAGTTACCATTGCCCCTTCACACCAATCAGCACCTGCTCCCTGAGGCAGTTGTCTCATTTGCCGTAAGGCAAGCTTAGCTCCAACCCTATTCCTAGCCTTCCCACACTATCATCCCATTCCAGGTGCTCATAAGATTCTCACCTAGACTTTGAAAGTTTCTCTTGGGAATCATATAGTGTTACAGTACAAAAGTGTCATTTTACTAGTGCCTTGCTACACTGTAATTCTCCAAAATATTAAAGGAGAGAAAGAAGAAAATGCAGAGAATGAAAGAAAAATCCCTTTAATCGCCCTCTCTTTATCTTTCCCCGTGTTCAGTTTTGACTGCTTCCCAAAACAGATACAAACAAAACTATTGATGCAGGACACATCCAAAGTGACTAAAAGGTTCCAGATTTTGTTCCTGCTCTTTCTAATTTTATATTCGGCTAAAATAAACTAGCCTGGGTACTTGGTATAAGAAGTCGCTGATCCTACATAGAGCTGACAGAAAATATTCAGGGATAAACAAAATAAAATCAGAAGGAACAGAAAGAAAATCTAGGACTTTCTACTGTTTTCAAACAGTTTGGATGGACCAAACTCCTAATGATGTCCTGGAGTTTAGTTTTGTTTTTTAACAAAACCATTCAAGTGTGTGAAATAAAATGTTACAGTTAGTGCCAAGAATGTCTGGAAAATAGTCTGTGACTTGTATTCATGATCACACACACACAAACATATGAAAAAGCTCCTGTGAAATGCAGCAACAAATGCTGTACTCTGTCTGGAGGAGCCCTACGTCTCCCTTAGTCTATGGCCGGCATCTGGCCGGAAATTGACTTTTTCCTCGGATGAGTCAATAAACACACCTTGGATTCATCTTCATCCATCTGGTTTGGTAAGGACTTCTGGGGTGTTTGGAATGCCTGTAATGAGAACCAGGACTACATTTGCTTAAGCCTGAAACAATCCAATCAAGGGTGACAATCCAATAGTATATCATGAAACACAGGCAACTCCTTCACATGAAAATTATAGGACAGCAGACATATACCCTTGATAAGGAGTCTCTATAGACGGTCCGACTCTAGAATATGGAGCCTATAACAGCATTTCTGAGATTCCAGTTGCATTTCCCTTCAGAACATGGACGACAGCTCCCAAAATCTCCCAGCCTTGAGAGAGAGTGGCTTGGGAATTGAAACTTTTCCCATTCTTAACTATGGTATGATCCTATTGTTCATGCACAATATCTGGACAAAAGGAGTAATGGGCAAATCCGAAACTGTGACGGGTCCTTTAATTTCTGAAAAGCTTACATCTCCCAAGAGACTACCCTATAAAAAAGCAAATAATGGAGTCACCGGAAGCTGTTTCATACTAAGTCAGACCATCTTGTCCACCCAGCCTATAAATTCTGATGGGAAGCACCTCTTCAAAGACTCCCAGGCAGGGATGAGTATTTCCCATGACCTGTGATCTTATTGCCCTCTTAAAAGGAAATGTCATTGATTGATCCTGGGACCTCTTAGATGCAAAGCAGGGGTTCTGCCACTGAGCTCCAGATCCGTCTCTTTCTCTGAGTCTCACAGGTAAGGAGGACCAGATCTTCAGATAACAAAGATACACCACAGGATCCCTCACCTGAGCCTCTGTGACCACAGAAAAACCTAAGTTATCATTCCTCTGGTCATGAAACTCTTTACACAAAGATGAGTAAAATATGGCCCTCTAGATCAGTGATTCTCAGCCTATGGGTCCTCAGGTGTTTTGCCCTGCAACTCCCAGAAATCCTAGCCAACTTACCAGCTGTTAGGATTTCTGGGAGTTGAAGGCCGAGACCTGGCTGGACGAGCTGGGGGGAGTAAATCTCTCTCAGTTGTGTCCACCAGGTTTTGGAGTGCATCAGCAGGCCAGACAAGGGGGGCGGGGAGGAGGGGTCGCAGTAGTCTTTCGGCAATCCATCGCCGTGATCAGATGCGCTGTTCCGCAGGCTTCTGGGTTTGAGTGTGTCCACCTAAAGGTGGGGAGCCGTGACAGTGTGGGGTTCCTGCTGGTGTACCGCCCACCCCGTGACCCAGCAGCCTCCCTGTCTGAGCTAGCAGAGGTGGTCTCTAATTTGGCCTTGGTTTCCCAGCGCCTGGTGGTGCTGGGAGATTTTAACATCCACGCTGAGACCACCCTATCTGGTGCAGCTCAGGACTTTATGGCCACCATGACGACCATAGGACTGTCACAAATAATATCTGGTCCCACTCATCAAGCTGGACATACTCTTGACCTTGTTTTCGTGGCGGACAACGAAATGATTAGAGTGGAAGATCAAAACATCCTTCCGGTGTCATGGTCTGATCATTATCTGATCAGTTTTAGACTTGCTGCGACTCTTAACCTCCGCAGGGGTGGAGGACAGATTAAAATGGTCCACCCTAGGAGACTGATGGATCCAGATGGTTTCCTGAGGAATCTTGGGGTTCTTCCTGCCTTGGAGCCTGGCGATTCTATTGACGCCTTGGTGACTCTCTATAATAGGGAGATGACCAGGGCGATAGATACGATCGCACCCGAACGCCCCATCTCGTTGCGTCGTGACAGGCCATCTCCCTGGTTCACCGGGGAGCTGGCTGTGATGAAGCATACGAGAAGGGGGCTAGAGCGCAAATGGAGGAAATCTCGGGACGTGTCTGATCGAGCACGGGCTAAAGCCTCTCTTAAGGCATACTCCGTGGCTATAAGGGTGGCCAGGAAATCATTCACGACCACCCGTATAGTGTCTGCAGCAAATAGATCATCGGAGCTGTTTCGGGTCGTGGGAGAACTCCTCCACCCACCTGTGGTGGAGGAGGTCACTGATGACCCAGCAGCTCGGTGTCGCGATTTCGCACACCATTTTGCAGGTAAAGTCGCCCAGATACTCCTTGAGCTTGACTCCAATTTCATCGCAGTACCAGAAGAGGTGACGGAGGCATCTGCTTGTCCAACCTTGTGGGATTCTTTTAGGCTTGTTCTTCCTGAAACCGTGGAGGAGATTCTTGGGGCTGTGAGGGTGACCACCTCATCTCTAGACCCGTGCCCATCTTGGCTCATTAAATCAGCCAGGGAGGGACTGGTTGATTGGTTTGTATTGATTATCAATGCATCGTTGGAGCAAGGGATTTTTCCATCTAATTTGAAACAGGCTGTGGTTCGTCCACTCCTCAGAAAGTCTTCCCTTGACTCCACGGTGCTGAGCAATTACAGGCCAATCTCTAACCTCCCTTTTTTGGGTAAGGTGCTGGAGCGGGTGGTCGCCTCCCAGCTCCAGAGCTTCTTAGATAATACCAACTACCTAGATCAGTCACAGTCTGGTTTCAGGCCTGGTCATGGCACCGAGACAGCCTTGGTCGCC